TCAGCAGACTGCTTGTTTTTCTGAGTCTAACAGCATGCAGATTTACAGCTTCAGGCTTGAATACAGTAAGATTTTTACTATATTTATGGAGGCATGAAGGACCCAGGGGGGCTAGATGGTGGTGTTAACACTATAGGGTCAGGAATACATGTTTGTGTTCCTGACCCTATAGTGATCATTTAACTTAACCCAGAAAGACACTTTAAAATGATAATTAATAAGCACAGACAGAAAATTTGCAAATACATTTCCAAAGTGAAAACGAGCATTCTATGTTAATGATGGTATTAGTCAACATCGCAGCTATATCTGAAGAGAGGATGGTGTAAGTATCCAGAGCCCACATAGCTTGTCTGAGAGACTCTGATTGGAAAGAAATGTATTTTCTAAAGTAACAATGGCATTTTTCTTGGCACAAGTCTCCCCATTTTCTCTAACACACCTCAAATTCACGACAAATATGATCTGCTTGTTAATCATGTAATACCTGTTCATTTTGTTAATGTTGGGGCCCCACATGCACGATGACTCGTCTCAAACGCCATAGTGGGCACCACTTCCCCTTTCAACCTCATAGCAGTAGCTCGTATACATTCTTTGTCATATAATCTACTTGGTTTCTTCAATCTTTTAATCTAAACCATGTCCCTTGGTGACATTCTCCTATCTGACTCTACATACGCATTACATCATCTTGGATAGGTTATGGTGCAAGGAGGTCCCCTGTCACTTTCTTCCAGCACATAGTGTCTTATGAACACAGCAGTTTGCAAAAAATCACAGCAGTTTACATCACAGGGGGATGCTATATCCATGCGAGTACCTGTACTATTTTTGTGTGTCCATAAATATCTGTTTGACCAATAGAGCTCTTCTGTAAAAGATTTTATGGGATAAGTTCAACACTGCTATAGAAAGTTAAGGGAGCATTATGACTGGTTTATTTACTTCCTGGTATGTAGAGTGTTCACTACAGAAGCTGAAAGGCCTGGGTGTTAACAATGCTTAAACATGTAAAATCTTTATTACTTTTATATGTTTTAATATACTACCCATATTTTCATTAATATAGGCAAATTGGTCAACTGCACCATGGAGTTTTCTTTTAAAAGAGATTATTTAAAAGGTTACAGCCCACTGAAAGGCTTATCATGCCAGGTGTACCCTTGTGCCTTTCCCTGTTAATGGGGCATACAGCTTTGCGACAGCTTGCCCTCTTGCCTTGGTCCCCACTAGAAACCTGGTCTCTTCAGGTGTTGGGTGAATGACATCAGGCATCTGAAAATCTGAAAAACAAAATTCTGATCCAGTCACCGTTTACAGAACTAACATTAGCCAGTCCTGAACTCTTGTTTTGGTCTAGCTAATGATGCTCCAGTGATGCTGACAGAGGTGCAACAAAGGGCTTAAACTCTGTATCAGCAGAGTTTTATAGTTAAATGCTGCATAAAGAAATTCCAAGAACCATAACCACCTTAAATCACTGAAGTGGTCATGGTGGTTGGAGTAATCAAAAGAAAGTTTAAGTTGAGATGTAGATCCATTCACAGAGAAACCATAATCATTGGCCAGTTCTTTTCACATTTGTTCCATTTTAGAATTATGTAAAGCCACATTTTCTACTTTTTGCTCCTCTACATGTCCTATTGTGGATACGGAGGATAGAGGGCAATTGTTAGCAATAAAATATATATCTCTTGAAATGCCATGAATATAAAGATTTTTTTTTCAAAACGAATGCCTTTTACAAAACAAAAATGTTCTGTCTTCCAGTGTGTTCTGGAAAACGATTTTTGGAGACGGAAAATGGCTCCTTGTCAGATGCCAACACCTTTTGCCTAGTTATGCTGCAATCATGACATTTGTTGGGAATTGAATCCTACAGCGCATTAATTGTTGAAATTTTCATTAGAGGTTTGACGGACCCATTTTCACCAATACAGCTGAAAACTGCTCTTTTACAAATCATGCTACTTTAATACAGTATATATATTGCACTTTGTCATTTAAAGCTTGTGAATAATTACACATTTCTGCCAATCCTCTAAAGAAATAGTACAAGTTATATATAAGCACACATGCAATATATATATATATATATTGTGTGTGTGTGTGTGGTGCTGATGAAGATTTCATAGAAGAACTGAAATGTTGACAATAAACGTTAATTTTTTAATTAAATATATTTAAGACGACCCTGGACTACTGTCCTTTTTGGTTTTCGTGTGTATATAATAATAACTATGAATACAAATGTATAAAATAAATATATATAAATTTTATAGGAAAAAGTTTTAATAAAAACCTATTCCAATCACTAAATTTTTCACCTTGCATTTTAAAATATATTGATTGTTGCCCAGCAGTTTATTGTATCCATATTGTACAGCTATGTAGTATAAATTGGCAGATTCTGTTCTAATAATTAACAAGAAGAATGATGTTCTGTTGAAGGATACAGTAAACTGATTCATCAACTACTACAATACTTCCCATTCTTAACTTAAAACCAAAATTAAAAAATACAACACACTATCCTCTTACAAATAAATACATATTTTAATAGTTTTGCTTACCAAGGTCTATAAAAACAATTGAACTGACATGAAAATTGAACTGACAGAAATTGCTATTAATTCTGCTAATTTGTTCTTTATTAATAATGTCATTAAATATTATGAAAACATATGTTTTTTTTAAATGGGGTGTCTATACCTAAGTTTTTTAGAAGGTACTTTGGTATTTTAAAATAATGTTTACTTGAGGAGAGTCAGCGCAGCTACAAATCTGGGAAATCCTGTAAGATGTGATTAGTGAGTAAACTGAAAATGATTACACATGGTTTGTGACCTACATTTCCTTTCTTACTTTCGGTGTGTTTGTCCTTTTAAAGAAACCAATATGTTTGTGTAACTGATGTGAAGCAAGCTTGACTCCGAAAAGATTTAAGTTAATATGTAGCTAAGCATTCGGAGGGTAGCGCATCTGCAGAGTGAACATTAAGGGTCTTGGCTGCAGTACAGCTAGTCACGTATGATATCAGGCCCGCAAATGTGACGTGATGCCTCTGTACGCTTGAAAATAATTCAATGTGCCATCTAGCTCAATGGCTGGAGAGAGGCTATACACATAGTTGTCAGAAATGAGAAACAATTCACAGATATTTTCAAACGGATGAGCAGAAAAGGATTAGAACCAGTCATCGGGACTAAATAAAAGTGTTAATTAGGGAATTGTTATATATAGGTGAAAAGGATGTCGCCAGGAGATGTGGCTGATATTAAAATTATATGTATATTTCATAAACCGTTTAGGCCAAAATTCAGAGTAGGAATTGACAGGTAAATAACTTATTTGTTGGTAGTTACATTTTTTTTTTTTGAAAATACATATTATAAACGAGTTTTGGGAGAGTCAACAAGGGTAATTTCACAAAGAAACAACTACAGTGAGGGAAATATTTATTTGATCCCCTGCTGATTTTAAACGTTTGCCCACTGAAAAAGAAATGATCAGTCTGTAATTTTAATGGTAGGTGTATTTTAACAGTGAGAGACAGAATAACAAAAAAAAAATCCAGAAAAACGCATGTCATGGGTCGTGGATGGGTATATCAGCATGACAATGACCCAATACACACAGCCAAGGCAACAAAGAAGTGGCTCAAGAAGAAGCACATTAAGGTCCTGGTCCTGGTCCTGGTCCTGGAGTGGCCTAGCCAGTCTCCACACCTTAATCCCATAGAAAATCTGTGGAGGGAGCTGAAAGTTCGAGTTGTCAAACGTCAGCCTCGAAACCTTAAAGGACCACTATAGGCACCCAGACCACTTCAGCTTAATGAAGTGGTCTGGGTGCCAGGTCCAGCTAGGACCTAGCTATAATAGGGTTAATCCAGCCTCTAGTGGCTTTTGCGCTTCTCACTGTGATTTTCACAGTGAGAAGACGCCAATGTCCATAGGAAAGCATTGAGAATACTTTCCTATGGACTGGCTGAATGCGCGCGCGACTCTTGCCGCATATGCGCATTCAGCCGATGATGACGACAAGGAAGAGGACAGGAGGAAGAGAGTCCCCGGCCCGGCGCTGGCAAAAGAGGTAAATTTAACCTTTTCCACCCCCTAGAGCCTGGCGGGAGGGGGGCCCTGAGGGTGGGGGCACCCTCATGGCACTATAGTGGCCCTTTAATGACTTGGAGAGGATCTGCAAAGAGGTGTGGGACAAAATCCCTCATGAGATGTGTGCAAACCTGGTGGCCAACTACAGGAAAATAAGTTATTTGTTATTCTGTCTCTCACTGTTAAAATACACCTACTATTAAAATTATAGACTGATCATTTATTTGTCAGTGGTCAAACGTTCAAAATCAGGAGGGGATCAAATACTTTTTTGCCTCACTGTAATTAGCCATAGAAAACAATGAATTTATTAATCAACTCATCATGTATGACAAAGCTCACTTTCATTTAAATGGCCTTGGCAATAAGCAAAACGGATGTTTCGGGGATACAGAAACCCCACGGATAATTCATCAGCGGCACTTGCACCCTATCAAGGCACCGTCTGGTGTGGGGTGACCTCGCAGGATATTATTGAATGGAAATTTCAGTGCTAGCGCCTCAAACATTAACTAATGTTATGAACAATGCAATTGAAAGAGCCTGACTTTGCGAGGTGGCAAATGGAGCTTATTTAAAAGATGTCATCAATTCTCCATGTATTCATTGTATGTAATATCATTGAAATTAGTTTGTTAATGAAAAGAGTTATTGACTTCTCAAACCTTACTCTGAATTTTGGCCTACCCTGTATACACACAGAGCCAGCCATATCGTTTGTGTGAACCTGGGCAAATGTCCATCTGTAATGATATTGATGTTACAAAGTTTTGGAATCCAGTTGTCAGATCAGCAATGTTTTCTGCCAGAGGTAGCCACTCGTTACCCAGGTGGTTGAGCCCCTGAGCCTTGAGTGACCTTCTGGTCTTAAGCAGAGATGGGAGACTGGAACAGAAAGATGATAATCGCAGTGAGGCAAGCCGAGGTCAGTGGGAAGGATAAGCAGCAAAGTCAAAACAGTCCAAATTCAGCAACAGGAAGGAGAAATAGGAACACGCTTGATTAGAGAGTACAGGAACCACAATAATCTGGCAAAGGTACAGAGACCGGAAGTGGCTTTTATAGGCCAAGAACCAGACACCTGACCAGACACAGCTGAAGAGAGTTGTCACTGATAACCTTGACTCTACAAGCAATGGTATCAGATCTCAGGTAAATTTGCAAAAGGCAGGCTGGTGTACTGGTAAGGAAGAGGTTTAGCACCATGTAAACCAGGGTTTGAAAGCCAGCAGAGTCAGTTCCTCACACCATCATAACCTGGCACCTACTTCCTTGCATTAATTTAGTAGCTCGTTCAGTGGTCCCACGTTTGTGAGATCTGCAAACGTGTGTCTCTCACACAACACACACACAAACGTAAGCGCTTCCTTAAATCCAGGATCTTTCTATGGGAGCCACACACAGTGAGCTGCTCTTCCCCGAACGTGCAAGGCTCAAGGGTGGAGCCCCGATAGCCCAAAAATATGTAAACATAATACATATATGTATCTGTTTTTTGTTCCCTATAATTTCTTCTTTTGTGAAGATGTTTTTTTAACCAAATACACAATAAACACAAAGTCAAAAGGCAGCAAAAAAAAAAAAACATGTGTCATGCCTTTGTTACAATCGATGGACACTTGCTTATGTGAATTACTATACAAACAGGGCATTAAATGCAGGGAACAGAAAAGGGGGCATTTCAAGGGAATCAGTCCATACCCATGAACAGAATTGCTTTGTTAACTGAAAAAAAAAAATAAGAGAGAGAGAGAAAAAAAAACAACCAATAGTTGTTCCTAACTATTCGGTACAGGGTTCCGAACAAAATCCCCACGTTAAAAAGCAGGTAGAGAGCAGAATGTAGTTATAACGTTAAAAATAATGAAGGAAAACAAATGTTCCCTATAAATTTTAGTGCAAGGGTGTTGGTTAAACCATTGATTAGTGAACACTGTGTATTGTACAGAAAACGGTATATTTGATTTATTTTTTTTAAATGTTCATCAATCTTTAACAGTACAAATAATTAGTGTGTTGTCTTATTTAAACAACTGCTTACTTTACATAAAAGGAATGCAGAGCCATTTATTTTCTAAAACCCTTAACATGATCCTTGTGCCGTAATGATTTGTCAGATGATTTATTGCGTGATATGGCATACCCAGTAAGATTCATGGCTCATACTATAAATAGTGGACAAATTATTCCGGGGGAGGGAGAAACCCTCTAATTCCATGACTTCTTGGAAATGCTACTTCAACTTAATTTTGTACAACTTTTACTAAAAAAATACATTTTTATTTAATTATATAAACCTTAAGTATTATTTGGGAAAAAATATGAAAAGTGTGTGTACACATAAACCTAGGCCAGTTGAAGCCTGGATACTCCAGAATTGTTTGTGAACAAAGTTTAGTTAAAAGGGCACTATAGGCACCCAGACCATTTCAGTGCATTGAAGTGGTCTTGGTGCACTGCCCCTGTCCCCTTAACCCTGTAATGGTAATTACTGCAGGTATTGTGTGTGGCGGAACCAACCTCGCCACTGGAGGATCCTGGTCGCCCGCCTTCTGACTATGGCACCATGTTTAACACTGTTCTTTTTCCCTGCAGAAAGCCTGGTTTGTGCCTTTCTGCGGACTGTTAAAGTCACGAACACCGCTGAGCCGCCGACCTCCCTTCTCCTACCTGCAGTCAATTATCCGAACACCGGTCCATTCGGTACTTTACTGTTTAAACCATGCTACCCCAGATAGCTATGCCATGAAGCCTAGCCGTATACTGAAAAACTGTATAAAAGACTTTGGCTCCATGGCGATTGAACTGTATGTATGTGATCTGAGCGCTATCCGGTGATAATATGCGCTCAGATCTAAGCTATCTGGGGATAGGTAGAATATATATGTTCAAGGGAACAAGGGGTGGGCAGAGGGTACTACAGTACTAGGAATACAACTTTGTATTCCTAGCACAATAGTTTACCTTTAAGCATTATGGGACTGACCTGAGTACTTTACATATATGTATAGTGCAAATGGTAGTTATTAATGGTATAGTATGTAAATATTGTGTTATTTAAGCAAACTAATCATCATATAACACACACTTGCTGCAAAAATGATGAGGTATGTGAATTAATTAAAAAAAACAAAAAAAACCCTAATTATTTATGGATTATATACACTGAAATGCACTTTATATTTTTTCCTACTTAATATTAAACAGCATAAGTACAAGTATAAAAACAGCAATTATAGAGAATCCGACAGCAACAATAACGTACACTCTGAAAATGAGCATACAGCTTCTCATCCCGATTGAGTCACAAATCAGTAACTCTTTATAAAAAGAGTTTGGATTCAGATTTGTGCATTGTGCGTAAACCTATAATGAATGTAATATGTTTAACAGAAGTCTGACCTCGGCCTAACGCATTCATAAATAGACACTGAGTATTTATAGGTGAATGTTCCTAAATACATTAAAAAAATATATTATTTTTTTTGGGCAAATATCTTAATGAATAGAAAGTGCTCTGCAAGCATAGATGTGTCCATTATTGACAAAATCCAATCCTGAGGTGATGGAATACACAAGCATGAGGCGCTATTACTTATAAGAAGGCATTCGATGGCTGAATGACAGGATAAGTGGAGCCATCCATCTGCTGTGCTAGAATGCTTGTAGCACATGACAAATTAACCCCCTAGGAGTTCAAGTTCAAGGAGTTCTAAGAAAAGATTCCCCACCAGGAGTACATAAAGATCATAAAGAAAAACAAAAGGAAAGCAAGAGTCGCTCAAGGAGTCGAGCAAGGGTCCAACCTAGCAGACTGCAGCCCAAAAAAAAAAAATTACTCCAAGCCCATGACCACTTGAGTGATTTCAGGTGGTTATGGTTCCTGCAGTCTGTATCTGCAGCATTTTGTTATAGAAAGCTGCACATACAGAATGTAAGCCCTCCGCTACTAGTGGTGTAACTCCACCTCAGGCTGCGTCTTTGGGGCACAATAAGCAATCCCAGAACAACAGTTACGGACTGGCTAATGTCAATTCTGTGCATATTTGGCGTCTGACGCCAGCAAGCACAGATCCTTTAGCAGTTACAGGGTTACTCTAACCCATTTTAATTTTTTTAAATTCAGAATGCCCTATTAGGCATTAGAAATTATGTTCCCCTCATTTTAAAGGTGTAAAATAAAGTAAAACTTACCTGAAATCCAGCATCTGGCAAAGCTCCGCTCACTGCCCTCCATGCCCCATCTGATGTCACAGACTATCCTGGCGAGGTCCAATCAGAATGCTTCTAATAGAGAACCATTATTATTATTATTATTATTTATAAAGCGCCAGCAAACTATGCAGCACTGTTAGACCGTTATAAAAAAATGACTAATACCAAACAGAAGAGGGGGATGTAGGCTCACAGCCCTGATGTCAAGGCAGTCAGGCTGAATTTCTGCACAGTACTGACATTAGGCAGTCCATGTGCTGGGAGGGAGGAGGGGTAAATAACCCCTGAAAAAAAGTGCAGATTACCCTATATGTGCAGCATCTCAACCAGAAATGCGGCACAAATTCCTTCATCACCAGTCTGAAAAGCAGGAGTGGTCATGGTGGTTGGAGTAACCCCTTTAAGTGTTGAAAATAAGGCCCTCTTTGTCATTCATTGATTTGCTGCACATATCTGAACTTTTACAAATTAAATCTGAATAGGTTAACTGAGGTAAAAATAGCGGATATGGAAAAATTCTCCAATTCAAACATTGTCTTCATTTTGCCATTTAGATGCAATCACCAACATTTCAGAGTTTAGTTAATATCCCTGATTTTGGATTCTGGCTTAAAGGGAAACTATAGCACCAGGAAAACAAACTCGCCTTCCTGGTACTATAGCTTCCCCCTACCCTGTAGTGCAAAAGGGGTTATTAACCCCTTCTGTTACTTACCTGGGTCCAGCACCAATGTCCTTCGGCGCTGGCTCAGCTCCGCCTACATTCCTCTGCCGCCGACGTCAGCCGGCGGGGGAGACCTAATGCACATGCATTGAATAATGCTTTCTTACTGGGATTCTGGTGACACATGCATAGAGTGAGGACGTCCAGCGTCATTTAGGCGACCAAAAGTCACCTTCGAGCCCGGAAGTCCCTCTAGTGGCTGCCACTATAGGAGGAATTAACCCTAACAGGTAATTATTGCAGTTTATAAAAACTGCAATAATCACATGCTCCAGGTTAAGGGTGATGGGACATTGCAACCAGACCACTTCAATGAGCTAAAGTGGTCTGCGTGCCTACAGTATCCTATTAATATGTTGTGGCATCCTGTGAGAATTTAATCTGATTTGACCAAATGAAGCATTGTTTACATATCATTGGTCAGTGCAGTGTTAAGAAGATTTTTGACAGTATGCTTCTTTTGTCCTCGCACTGCAAGATCACACAGTATCGCAGGGTTCCATGCACATTGCCCAACATATGATCAGGCAGGGACATGTAAAGTGTTCTTTTAGGACCTTATAAGTCTACCTCTCACAGGTGCAATAGCTTGTGACTTTAGTGAGTACATCACTGGGTTGTGGGTACGTATGGACAATCAGCTATATTAATTCACAAGTGCTTATGTTGAGAGATGCAAAGGTAATTGGTCACTGTAGGGCTGCTAAATTTTAACTTCCCCAAAAGAGGGTCTTAAATAACACCTGGGTCTTCATGGTGCAAGCAGGAGAAAAAGCCTGCTGGTGCAAAATCCACATGCTAGAATTACTAAAAGGGAACACCACTGCCCAAACAAACAAAAAACACAACCCCCCTACTATTTAGTATGTATAGACCCAATAGAAATATTCATGCATTTCATAACGCATTTCCTTTCACTGGTGGTCATCAAGAAACAGCTTGCAAAAGCTGCAGATCTGCAGCCTACACAGACCCTCCCTTTTTTTTCTCGATTATTTTTTTTTGACTGACAGGTAGTACATAAAAATTACAGTAAGCAGGAATCCAGTACTTCCAGGTAATCACAATACAGGCAAAAATATACATCATAATATGAAAAGTCAAGACTTAAAGAATCAGTGGAGTTATTATTTTGCGACATACCTCGGAGTGATCCCTTGTACCTAGACCGTCAGGTATTTTTACTAAATTATTAAAAGA